GACAGACATTCAAATGAAAGCTGAAAAACAACCTATCCTGGTTTTATCAGACTAATTTAGGATTCCTTCTCTCTTGCATTGGGGAAGGGCCATAGCTCAGTGGCAGAGCACATGATTTGCATGCAGAAGGTCCCAGGTTTGATCCCCAGCCATCCCTTGGCAAAAGATCATGCGCCAGTGCATGGCTGAAGGTGTTTAGAGGATCCATCTTAGCAGACATTTTATTCTGAAGATGCTAACAAACACACCATTGGAAAAAAACCCTCTTGCCTGACAAGCTGGGGAACCACTGTCATGGCTACTCTCCCTTATTGTTTCAGCAACAGAGTATTCTAAACTACTTCACGTTACAGCAGGGACAGCTCATAGCTCTATATTTTTGCAGAGAAAATCCATCCTGTAGCTAAATTTCAGAGAACAGGTGATTCTAATAGGGGTGGAAGGTGACATCAACATCCCTCCTAATCAAATAAAAATCTGGCATTGCATCCCAGTGAGCACTGGCTCCTCTGTACCACTGCTTTCCTCTAAATCTCCTTTAGTCCATATTCCATCATACCTCCACAGAATAACCCTGACAGCAGAGGATATGATTCTGGTGCTAACTCTGCTAGGATCCAGATGCTATTGGGCAGTAACTCCAATAATCCTTCATCATTGCCTATGCTGGCTACGACCAGTGGGAAGTAAAATCCAACACTATCTAAGGGCCACACATTCCCCATCCCTGCCCTACACACTTTCAAACTGCTTCATGGCCAAAAGGCTTTGAAACATTTGAAACAAGAGACAAGTTCCCATTCTTAAGAAACCACATTCTGGGTCAGATTTCATGTGCTGTTCATGGCCTTGAATGTGAGAGAGCTCTTCACTTTACTCTTAACCCTTTAAAATAGGATAAACTTTGAATTTTGTACTTGATCCTGCATTATTTTTTCTAGGCAAGTATAAAGGTCTCATAGTTGGGAGAGAAAGCTCATTTGTACATTAATGCTGGCAAGTTCGGTGTTTATGTCTGACATCTCTTGGCAAAAGATCATATTTCATTGTGTGGCTGCAGGTGTTGAGAGCATCTCTCTTAGCAGACGTTTTATTTTAAAGATGCTAATAAGTATGCCATTGGAATTCTGTGATGCATCCTTCACAATTCATGCAACTAACTGCTGCTAAGTAAAAATGGCTCTACCAAAGTCACTGGTACAATTAGGCCTTGTGTGGTAAAGAAATGGCCAAGGGATGGCATCCTAAAGCAGGTTCAGCAGCTTTTGAATGAAATGCACAGCTGGAAGGAAACTCTCACTGACATATCCTCCAACCCCAAATGCCTGGAATCGATCTCAAGCCTCAGGGAGACAGTCCATTGCTGTGGGCACAGCAGTGCCCACAAACACAACTCTTGGTGCTTGTCAGACTCCCTGCCTCTCCTGCTTTTTATTTATCGAGATTTTTAAGATTTAACTGGGGGACTGGCATACTGCAAATTGAAGGGTTACCCTCCATCATAGTTTTGTATTTTGAAGCTCAAAGACCACCTCTGTTTTGTACTTAGTTTCTTAGTTTTTTTTACCAGCTATGCTTCCACAGCAGCCATTTTATAAAAAGGCAAGTCTCCCCAAGCCAGGGCAGGCATTTTGTGAGAGTGCTCATGGCACTCTCAAAATTTCAAATGTGGGCACCATCCCACAGAGGTTCGGGGGCCCTGTTCAACTGACCTCTGGACCTAGACCCTTTCCATTGCTCAATCCTATTGCTGATTACCTAAAGCAGGCTAATAAGCAGCCCATCTACTGGCTACATCCCAGCCCTGTTTCCTATTTACATTATGCAGTTTCCACAACCATTAGATTTGGTGCTTTTAAAAAAGGTCAGAGTCGTGTTGTTATTATTACTACATTTATAAAGCATCTGTACCTGAAGGTCTCTGGGCAGTGCAGAAGATTTAAGTCAACCATCCAGATTTCAAGCAGGCCCAGCCCTGCTTAGCTTTCAAGATTAGACAGTATCAGGCAGTTCTGATTTTATGGAAGGCTGTATGCTCAACTACCCTCACTGGAATGATGCACATTTCTAGAATCTCTCGTCTCCTCTAGCAAAGTCCGTTTCGACAGCCTAAACATGTGACATTGGTGACAGCATCTCCAACTCTGAGTTGGGCCTTGACCTGATCAACATGGGGCGGGGGGCACAGGGGAGATGTTCAGTTTCAATCTGAACCCCTCCTGCCTTCTAGCTAACATTCAGGTATGGTGGGTGCCAAAACTAGGCAATTGGGGGGGGGGGGTGAGTTCCAGCAACAGGTACCCTACATACTGCTTCAGCTGTGCATCTCCATTTCCCCCTCCCATTACAGTCATGTCATAGGTCTTCTGCTCTACTTCTCTTCCTTGTCTGGCTTTTCTCAAATTGCTTGGTTCTGCCACTCGCTTGTTAACTATAATAGTCAGACCAAAAATACTTGCTGCATTTGTTATGGCAATACGGCTGGTATTGCATAGATTTTGAAATGAGGAAGGAAACTAGATCAATTCATGGAAGATGAGTTTCACACTTCCTAGCTGACCCAGTTTCACAACATGAAGCAGGAAGCATTTGGGAAAAATCAACCTCATTATTTAAGGGTGTTGGATTGTTGTATTAGAGGGTGTTGAATTGTTGTCCTAGAATATACCTGCACAAACAGAACCTGAGACTTGTTGCTGACTGTTGAACCAAGAGAATTAGATATGTTTCTGATGGACAAATTAAGTGCTCCTTAAGATTTAATTCTTAATGAGAAATGTGAAGTCTCTTCTGCTGTTTAAAACAAAAATATAGAAGTTCCCAGTCAGTGAACTGGGATTTGAGAGTGTCAGGCACTGTGACAAAATGGCTGCCATACCACACTGGCTGTCAATGAAACTATCAATATAAACAATCAATTAAGGGGGCAGGATTGCCTATCCCACCAGTCTGCACAAGTAAGTTTTTGCTGGCATTTAAATGACAACAATGTGAGGCAGTCAACTATACCAAGAGCTGTGGTGACACAAATGAAAAGATCTTGCCACATGTGAAAGACCCATGGGTGCAGTCCCCAACTGCCCCATATGCAAAGGCCTCCATGACAGATCTTGAAACCCAGGAAGGCTGGTCTTGAGGAACAAGTTCCTACAAGTACTAGGGTCCCGAGACATGTAGGGCTTTGTACATTCTTGTTAACATCTTAAATTGGGTCCAGTATTGCAAAGGAAGCCCAATGTAGAAAGCATTATTTTAATGCTTATCAGAGCACAGACTGCCGCTGTCTTGTTATCCTGCTGCAGGAACCACCATAGTTGGCTGTAAGTACTTCTTATTACTGAAGTTGTCTAGGCCACCAGTGACTGCTGTGAATCCCCACAACTCCCAGGTTATGTACCTGCTCTGTCAGGGGCAGCACTACCCCATGCAGGACAGGCCATCACTTCAATTCCAGGGCCTGAAAATCCACTCACAGAGCCTCCATTTTATCAGAATCTCACTTGTGTGTGCATCCAGTACTGCTGCTCCCCATACACAGACAGAAGACACACGCAGGCTTTGCGGAGAAAACTAGTTAACATATGCAAAGCTTGATTTTCCGTGTGCAAAAAGGGTCTGGGGGTCCCAGGGGCATCTGGTTGGCCATTGTGGGAAACAGGACACTGAACTAAATAGGACTGAGGTGTAACCTAGTCAGGCATTTTGCAAATTCATATAAATGAGGAGATTCTGTGGAAATGGGCAAGGGAAATCTTCAGATCTCTTTCTACATGTGTGTGAAGTCTTGCTACTAAGTGTAAATAAACACAAAAAATACTGTGCTGACTTTCTGCAGCTCAACACAAGTCAAATACTTATTTGCCTCGAAGTACTAGATAAGGTTCTAGTAAGGCTGTCAACAAAGCAAGTTTGCAAGCTCATGCAGGAAATTAACATCTTTGCTGCAAGCCAAAATGGGAGGACACAAAATTCAGCAGAGGCGGCTTTTTAAAAAAGAAAGGTTGGTGCATATCTATGAGCTATTTTAGTGCAATTATATTAATGCAGTCTGTTAGTCATTAGCAGTTTTAGACAACTCCCAGTGTTCCATGTTGGCTGGGGTTGATGGAAGTTTGGAAGTCCACAACATCCAGAAAGCACATCAGAGACAACTGCATTGGAGCATGGGTGTATATGCAGAGGTAGTTTGTCCCATTTTGAAGATGTGATTAAATATGTGTTTTGGTGACCAAGCAAAAGCAGGGGCTATGAGTAATCCATTCTAAAGAAGAACCCTGGTCTATCCTTCACAATCAAGCAATTGCCTGTTAGCTTATTCTGGGGCACTCTATAACTAGCAAATCATCTATAGGCCTGCTACTGCCCTAACTTAGTAGTCTGAAGGTAATTTGTACTACACAATGTCTCATTACCTGGAGAGAAAAGGTAATCTGCCTACCCTGAACTCTATAATACTCAGAGGCATTTAGCCAACATTTTGAAACACAGACTTTGGACATTTGAGGTAGTGATTGCAATGCAATGCCTTTTTGTGCCAGGATGTCTCTGGCTTGAATCCTTCATATTCAAACCAGCTTGAGTTATAAGTTATTGACAGTGCCTGATGAATCAGCTCAAGGGTTTCTACAAAGCTGAGATTAGTGCTGCAATAACTTTTTTTAATTTAACAAACATTGAAAATAAACCGCAAAGCCTGAGTGGTCAGAAATGACAGCTACTCAATACATGGTAAAGCGGTCATCCTCATCTTGACAGACTGATTGCTTATTTTAATCATGTGCTTACACATTCTATTCAGAATGCTTTGCAAACAGTGAATTTCATTGTGGAAGTGCTATGAAAATCTGAAATTATTTGGTATTTGGTGCAGAATTTATGATCCCGAGAATCTTACGATGTAGACGAAGCTTCACTCTGAAAACCAAACTAGCTATTACTTTAAATGCGTGTTTAGCAGCTACGTCGTCCTCATTTTTACGCTTTGGGCGCATACTACTTACCTGTGTCTTTTAGATGCAATTTACTAGTAGCCAGTAGTGTTGGCTTTTGCAATCCAGCGCACGTTCTATCTGGGAAGCAAAGCCTCTAGTGAACCCAGAGCCTTCTGACTCTCCTAATTGTATAAGCTCTGTATGGATTTCCACATCTAATGCGCGTCTGAACGGTATCCTGAAAAGATTATACAACGGGGTGCTCAGCACGGGCTGCTAATGAGCCCAGGAGGCAGTCCGCACAGGGCACCGGGCAATTCCCTCAGCTCGTGCTGCCACCCCGCTGCATAGGGCGCAACGAAAAGAATCTTCCCGCGCACCGCGTGGGAGCAGGTCGCGCGCTTGCCAACCCGCCAATTAGCAGGCAGGGGCTCTGCAGCTGAACAGGCGGTCCTGTTTTGCAGCAGAATCCCAAACAGCGGATTGGCAGGCTGCTGGGAGCGCGGTGCGCGCGCAACGGGTAATAGACTATGCTTCGGGCGACAATCCTACCCCCGTTTCCTGAATGCAGCGAGTCTTACTTTCGAGTAGACAAGGTAGGATCGTGCTGTCTAGCGCGTCAGAGTAGAAAGCATGCCTTTCTTCTCTCTCCCCTCACTTTGACACTTTCTGCCCGCAAACAAAGATGGCCGGGGTGACGTATTATTCTTCCCACATAGAGAAGTAAGAATAGGGGACATGAAGATTGGGCTATTTCCTCCCTCCTTTTCTAACTAAGCATTCGCTATGCTTTAGGGATTTTACTTTTTTCTCTTTAAGGGAACAGCCCCAAAAGTTAACTGTTTCCCCTCCAAGAAGACCTAAGCTTGAATAACCACGAGTCTTTTGTTTCTGCTGGTGGTTATGTAACAAGCTGCTGCCAAACTCATGCAATGGTAAAAAGTCCTGGATATTTTCATTATCTCCTGGAAGGAGTTTTCAGTGTTGCTGCCCCTCCATCCAACAAGATATAAATATTCAGAAACATCCAGGAAGTCCGGACTGCGGGCAGATAAACTGCAGCCCTACACTTTGCTTTGTTTGCGTCTTCGCACGCACGTGCCTAAAAAGCGTCAAGTGCTTCCGCTACGGAGACTGCAAGAGTGGGGTAGTTCAGGAGGGCTGCCGGCTGCTTGGGCTATGTAAATCCCGAGGGCTGCGTGAACGGCTCGCTTACTTCCCTTTGAAGCCATCCTTCAGTTGCTTAGCAGTCCCCTTTTCTACTCCCACATCCCCAGTCACAAACACGTACCAGGAAGGACGTGTGCGTAGGGGAGTAGGATTACGGGTGCAGCAGTTTTCTCCTCTGCAAATGTGATACTTTAGATTGCTTGTTCATCAGCGTGACGCCGCTGTTGTGACGCAACACGCTAATACAGGCAGTCTGAAATCTTCTGGTCTACCTGGGATCTGATCACGTGGCAAGCAGAATAGCCTAATTTAATGACACTCCGCTTGGAGAATTTTTCTTTAAGGGTACATGGCTGGGACATGCTGGGCATTGTGGGACTAGTTTTCTGTGTAAATTCGCATAGGATCACGTCCGGATCCTGCTATTATATCACTGATGGGGAACCTCGTATTGGTGTGGGTGTAAATCGAGCCCTCTGAGTTGCATCTTACCGCCAAAACTACACTAACGTTTGCCACAACCTCTTTACCTCTTGTTTGTTGGGTTATAGAATCTTGTGCAGTTTTTCCCTCATTGTAAAAGGTTGAGCTGCAACTCCAAAGGCCATGGTAGAAAGAGATTGAAGCTAATATATGTACTGAGATTTTTTGTGTTGCACCTCCCCTTGCATCTTTGACTTGAACCTTTCGGCTTTCACCTGCTCCCTTCCTCTAGGATGTGCCCTCCATTATTTAAAATTGAATTAAGCCCTCAGGCTCCTGTTTTATATCATTTTCCAGAGATGTAGCAGTGTTGATCTATTGCACAAAAAGCCAAGGTTGTTGTTGCACCGTAGGAACAAGCGCATGAATTCTGGCACTAGGTTGTGTGAGCTATAGTTGACTTTCATCAAATGCATGGGCTATTATAGAAGTTTCAGATTAATATGCTGCATATTGTGTGTGAGGGAGTGGAAGTGAATTGTAAACAATGCTGTCAAAAGAGCATGAAACATAGGTAGTACGGACAATTATAATCACATTAATTGTTGTGATGCACAGTGCAGTTCTTGACTCTTTTATAATGAGAGTGAGAGAAATAGTCTCCTTTTTATCCATTGCTGCAGCTTAATAATGTTTCATATTTTTACAATGTTGATGCAGTATGGTGAGATTTTTTTTAGAACTTCTGAAATATAATTATGTTGTTAGAAATGGTGTGCTGAAACTGTGGGCTGGCAGAGCAAGGGGGACTTACTTATTTCCAAAGCTCAAGTTTACAATCCAAAAGACGTGACATCAGGCAGCAGTTCTTAATGTTATAAAATTCTTATAGTAGCTAGCAGGGATGGAAACAAGCTGCCTCAGTTTAAAAAAAACAAAGCAGGCTCTGGTTGGTCTCTAAGAAATAGCTGGGTAACTCAACATTCTAAGAAGTTGCTGTAATGTAGCTAAAAGTTGTTAGACTTACAGGATGTGGCCCTCGCCTTGCTGGAATCTGCCAATGGCACACTGTCCCTAACACAACTGGTAAGGTGCTGAGAGGCCTAGATCAGTGATGGCGAACCTTTTAGAGTCCGAGTGCCCAAACTGCAACTCAAAACCCACTTATTTATCACAAAGTGCCAACACTGCAGTAAAACCTGAATTTGCTGACCACCAGTACAATGGGGCAATGTTCCACTGACCACCAGCTTTTGGCCAGCTCTGAAAAAGGCATCTGAGTGTATTTCTTACCGAAGTGTATATCCTACCTTTCCTACTTTCTGCTAAAATCACAGTCCAAGAAAATCCCTGGCAGCTCTCTGACCGGCCGGGCGTAAGCTCCGCGAGTTGCGGCTAATGAGTGATGTTGATGGCTGGTGCCCTTAATCTTTCCAAATATGTGCGTGGCTACTGGGGCAATCGCGTGCAGACAGAGAGGGCTCTGCGTGCGCCTTCAAGCACACGTGCCATAGGTTCGCCATCACTGGCCTAGATGATCCCCACCCATAGAACATGTGGTTCTGTTGCTCTTTCTCAGCGGGCAGTTGGTTCCAAAAACTTCTTTGAGCAAGGAGTGTGCCCCAACCCAACAGGTGAAAGCCACAGCGAGTGGATAAGGAGAAGATGGCAGTTGTTCTCATTGCCTACGTCTTCTGTTAGGTTTTAAAGTTGCCCAAACATAGCTTGGACCGCTCTCTGCCTCTTTGTTGACTCTGAATATAGTCTGTCTCCCACAAGGCAGTATGGTTTGCAACTTTTCACACTTATCTTGCCCTTTCTTAGGGCTGGATGGTGGAAATAAAAATGACTGATCTTCTCCAGTCCTTCACCTGTAAGTTCACAAGCAGAAGATGTGCCTGGCTAGTCATTCTAGCATTTCCCTACCTTTTCTAAAAATAGCCCTGTTTAGACATTTTCATGAGCCAGCCTACCTAAATCTGGTACGCTTCACATCTGTTGGACTAGTGCTCCCATAACTCCCAGGGAACATAGCCATCAGCTGAGAATTATGGGAGTTGCAATTCCAGACATGTGGATGGCGCCAGGATGGAGGAGTCTGGACCTAATACACATGTGGAAACAATGTAAGTATTATGTGCATGCCAATGTCCCCTACAGGCTCTAGCCTGCCTATATTCAAGCAAATATGTTTGTTCTGACTTTATTTTTCTTTGTCCTGTTCTAATTGTAAACCTGCACCACTGAACTTCAAAGTATCCCATTATGCTTATGTCACCAAACAACTCTTCACCATTTGCCTAGAGCCCTTCTCATTCTGCATTTGACAAGTCATAACTCCCCCACCTCTGTCTTATTTAGCTCTATTATTATTATTAGAAATAAACAGCCAGTTCAGTGCCATGTGGTTGTATACCAGTCAGTGTTTTCCTTTCTGTAAATGTTTATGGTACAATAAACATATTTAGCTTGAATCTTTGGTATAATAATTTCCATAATTTCTTTCTCTAAATGGTGCATAATCTGCTGGGGGCACACCACACTTCTGCAAGAAGGGCCACATTCTCGTGCACATGTTCATATGTGTATGTCAACTTGCGTGTATACAAAGGTATGCACTAACATGGTTTTGAAAAATGGCAGCTAGCTTAATTCCTGATTTCAGCCAATCCTGATGGACATTCTTGTGTCTTTTCAAATAAGGCCAGCAAAATATTAACCTTGTTGTAGCAGTCATTTTCTATACTTGGTCTTAAACTGCTTAAAATATATAGTGAAGCTTGTGGAAGTCCAGAAGAGGCAATGCATGCACACTTTAAAAATTTGTGCCATATTTGATAGCCTTTTCTTATTTCCAGGGAAACAGCTGAATTGTTAATAATCCCAAAGCTATATATTTAGAATTATGTGATCAGTAATGTTCGACACATTCTGGGTTTATCTTTCTTGATCTAAGGGTGAGCTTGAAAGGAAAAGACAAAAGGGATGATAGCAAGAATGATCTGCCCTCATGGCAGCCATAACCATACCCATTAGTAGTACTAACATGACACTTTTCTTATTTCTTCTTATTTCATTATTATTCACATACCCATCTCACCCTATTTTCATAGGCTCTGTGCAGTTTACAAGTTATTAAAATGATTAAAATAGACTAAAAACAAGCATATTAAGTAAAACTAATCTGGGTTCTGATCTGGGAAACTCTGTTGGAAGATCTATCTATCTATCTATCTATCTATCTATCTAGGAGACTTCTATGCCGCCCCATTCGCCAAAGCCTCGGGGCGGCTCACAACCATATACGTCTTTAATTCCCTCTTCAAAGTAGCAATCTGAGATATCAGACACATCTCTCCCAGCAAACCATTCCACAGTTTAGGGTCAACCACTCTGGGTGGTTGGCATTAATCTTGCAGAAGTAAACTTCAGATTGTCCCCAGAGGACCTTAGTGAGCAAGGAGGAATATATGGGCAAAGACACTCCTGAAGGGAAACAAGGACTGGGGAACAAACTATGGAGGCAGAAGACATCAAGAAAACCTACCCCCTCATATATATTTTTAGAATACTGTTCTTATGGGGCTTATAAGTATGTTAAACAGTTCTGTTTTAGATGAGAACATACTACATGGGTCAAGAGTGAAACATAAACAGCTGAAGCGGCTCCTGCAGTGTTGGTCTGTTAAAAATCTGTTCAGTTTGAGCTGCAGTTTGGAACTTTGGAAGCCTTCAGCGGACTGTGATTTTCTTTACAATGCCTGTGGCAATTTTTTTTAAATCCCTGGAGATGAGAAGCTTCTTTTGGCCTTGATCCGATAAACAGTTGGTGCACTTATTGCCTAGAAACATGTGCCTGCTTTGGAAAACATGCAACATATCTGACGTCATGACAGACAAGTTTGACTCAATCTGTTTATTTCATTCCAAAGAGCGTGACCAGATTTCTCAGAAGGGGCACTTGCATGACAGGTGTTGTTAGACCATGAGACTATTCATTTGACTCTGGCATTTGCCCAGAAGAACCACTGAAATGTCAGAGCAATCTTCACAACTCTC